CCCCGGGGCTCCGGTGAGGGACTCAGCCGGCCTTTCCCTGCCTCAGCCGCCTCCTCTCAGTCTCACCCGACCGGCCGCTGCTCGGGTTCATCCGGCCCGTTCTCCCTCACCCGAGCCCGGAGCTGTGTCCCCAGCTGGGTCGGAGCAGTGCCCGTCCCCCTGCGCTGGGCACTGCTGAGGCCCAGCGAGTGCCGTGTCCAGTTCTGTCCCTCACTGCAAAAGAGACATGAGGAGCTGGAGTGTTCCCCATGGAGCTGGGGAAGGCTCTGGGAATCACTCCTATGAGGAGTGACTGAGGGAGCTGTGTGTGGCACTTAGTGCTGTGGTTCAGTTGACAAGGAGGTGTTCAGACAGAGGTTTACTCTGATGATCTTAGAGGTCCTGTCCAACCTTAATGATTCTTTAATTATCTGTCTCATCTGACCCCACTCAAAAAACACTTGGACAACATCTTCAGACATACGGTGATCTTCTTGAGGTGTTTTTATGCGGGGTGTTCTTCTCAAGAGTTGGATTTGATGATCTTTGTGGGTCCCTTCCAGCTCAGGATATTCTCTTATTCTCTGATCTCCGTCTCCCCAGCTCTGCAGGTCCTGACTCCAGCCTGAGCCTGAGCCTGCCCCTGCCACTCGACGTGCCCTCCTTGCTCTCCCATCCCTCCTTCCTCATCACCACTGGATCCAGCACCGGCTACAGCATGGTCCCCTCCCCGCCCTCCTACCACAAACTGCTGATTCCCCACCACCCCATTCCCACCACACACAGGGACGACCCAACGCCCTCCACCTCTCGCAGCCACCCCTCACCTCTGGCCACCTTCCACACCTCTTGGCCAAAGTGGGCCCACACCTGATGCCTCCAACAGCCCGATGCCCCCCTCGTGTCACGGTAGCAGTGGCATCGGCCTCGTGCTCTTCGGTGCGGGGCTTGTGAGCAAAGCCTTGTTGCAAAGCCTGCTGGAGGAGACGGGCTGCTGCCTGCTGTACGTGGTGGAGGATCGGCCAGAGGAGGTGGAACGTGCCTTTGGCGCCGAGGTCCCGGCCAGCACCAGGGTGCTGCGGCAGCAGGACACCGCTGTCGCGCTCGGTGATCCGCGGTACTGACGGCTGTGAGCTCCTGTGTGGGGCTCTGCTCAGGGCAGGGGGTTCCATGCAAGCCTTGCCTTCCCCTCTGGGAAACTCTGTAGCAGCCCCAGACTGTGCCTCTAGCCATCCGTGTGGGAGTGAGGGGCCCTTTTGTCACCTACCCACGGAGTCTCTGAGAAGCTTAACTGGGCTTACATACCCAGATTAATGCAGACTTGGAGGTGTTCAGTTACAGGGAGTTTTGTTAAGAAATATAAAAAGACCATTTTCCTCCATTCCCACAGAATAATAAATGATGCCTTCCCTACTACCTGCCAGTTTTCCTGTCTCAGAGCAGTCAGCTGAGTTTGGTGACTCTTGGAACTCTGAGATAAGCAAGGGTTGGTGTAAATAGGAAAGGTTGCAGCCTTTTGCTGCGCAGTTGTACTGAACTGTAACATCACTAAAGTGCTGTTACCATCAGGTCTAAAATATTGCAAGAGGAAAAGGCAGAGGTTTTGGGAAAGGCTGATTTGATACTAGGAAGTAAAGAATCACAGGAAGCTAAGATGCATTGATCAGCAGCTCTACCACATAAATTGGATTTCTCTGTGTGTGTTAACTGACAGGATTTAAATCCTTTCTAAAGGAAACCTTTAAAATACTTTTCTCCTTAAAGATGCAGGAAAAGCAGTGCAATTCCTTTGTGCCACTTGTAATTTTAATCTATGTCTGTCACTTTATATATCATCTTTGAAGCAGGCACTGAGTTCCTTCTATAACCCAGCTGGCTCTTCCAGAGCAATGGGGTTTTAGGTTTTTTTAACTAACCAAATTGAGCTTTTGAGCATTGTTTGATCTAGTGAAAAGCTCATCTTCACTGAAGATCTCTCGATTCCTGCAGAGTCTCTGGAGCCATTATTTGTTCCCCACCTGATGAAGCCCCTGAGATGGTAAGAGATGCCTTACGAGCAGGTAAGAGGAGCAGCTGCACATTCAGCTTTTCCCTGTGCCCATTGATGTGCACTTGTGAGTGTGTTTGTGTTTCAGCAGCAGCCCTGGAGCTGTGCAGGCTCTCTAATTGTGTCATTACAGTGACTGAGATCACTGCTGATGTGAATGGCTGGACACCAGTGGGGTTTGCACTGTACTGGTCCTACTATGACTGAGCAGTGTCTCATCCTAAAATCCCACCCAGGATTGCTGGTGAATGCTGGTCAAAGAAAAGCTGTCACCAAAACAGTCCCACTCCTGGGGTCTGGGACAGCTGAAACCACAGCAGGCAGGCAGAAGGGGGTAAATGCCATCAAAACCAGAAATGTCACAAGCTGTGTACATTATTGCAAGATCAAGGGTTTTGTGCAGCTGTGTCTCCTCTGAGCCCTGTGTGTGTCCTGTTTTGCACAGGTAAAGGTGTGTTCTGCGAGGGGCTGCCCAGCTTGGACAGACAGACAGCAGAAGCCTGTTTTGATGAGGCCAGCAGGTGTGGGAGGCCACTTGTGTGTGGGTTCTACAAGTAAGACGAGTGGTTTTCCTGTGATTAATTCTTGATAAAATCACGTGTCTGGAAGCAGCACTGATTCCTCAGGCTTTCCTGACTTTGTCCTTAAATCAGCTTAGTTTCACCTCATTCCTTGTTTCCCTTGTAAGGCGCTTTGACCCAGCCCTGCAGTTCTTGTACAGGAAGGTGCGGGGCAGCCAGGCGCTGGGCAGGATCCACCGGATATCCACCATCAGCAGCCTCTATCCAGCAGCCTCTCTGAGCCTGCTGAAAGCCTCAGGTACCCAGCAGGATCCTGCTGAAGAGTCTAGGCTTGACTCAGAGTCATGGAATGGTTTGGGGGGGAAACGACCTTTAAGCTCATCTGTTCCACCCCCTGTCACGGGCAGAGACACCTCAACCAGACCAGGTTGATCCAAAACCTGTCCTGCCTGGCCTGGAAATGCTTCTGTGTTCTGTGGGAATTCCCCTGAGTTTGTATAGCCTTAAGATCCATGGGGAGGAGTGTTTTTTGATGAGTGGTTTCTTTACCAAACTTCATTTCTGTGCATGTTTTGTCCCTTTAGTATTAGTTTCTTCACTGTGGGGGCTTTTTATATCATCTCTGTGTAGTTCAGAAATGTTCATTGGCTGTGGGTTTCAATATGGAGACCTTAACACTCAGTTTTGGTTCTTCCAGGTGGCATTTTTTACAACGCTGCTGTGCATGACATAGATATTATCAGTTTGTTGTTGGGAGAGAGTGTGCCAGATACAGTATTTTCCCTGGGCCATGCCTTCTGTGCAGGTAAGAATGAGTCCTTTGATGGTTTATTGGGTACCTCTGGACTTCAGTGTTAAAACTGGGAAGAAAGAAGGAACAAGAGGCATGTTAGCCATGACATAGTTGTTCCATCATGGAGCAGTTGAGTAAACAGGTTGGTGAAACAGATGGCAGGTTCCTTGGGGGTACTTGATGAAGATCTCTGAATCTGGTGAATCTCCTGCTGATGTGAAGCAGGACATCATTGAACATTACTCTGCAGGACAACAGGTTTGGAGCCAGAGTGCAGAAAATACTAAGCAAAGGTTTGAGCTCACAAGAATGTCAATGAAACGTTAATTCTGTGCTTTCTCTGGCCCTTCCCTGTGAATCCCAGCACAAAGCTGTGTGTTTGCTCTGGGTCATGTTGGGCTGACATGCATGCTCTGGGTTACCACACTCATTTAAATGAACCATAAAAGGTGGAAGCTGCCATTTTTTAAATGGAAATGCAGAGTTTTAATTAAGGTAATTGCAGCAGCTGCCAAGCTTGACTGGCTGGGGTGAGGAGGGGCAGGATGCAGCGCTCTCCTCCATGGCACAGCATTGAAATGCAGCAAACAAGAGCCCTCCAGGAAGGTTCTGTACCCTCTGCCTTGCTCCAGCAACGTGCTGGAAGTTGCCTGATCCTGGAAGCAGAGGTGGGATGCCCTCATTAGGGAGAGCTGCAGGCTGGGAAGGTGGAGTTGGGCCTGGGGCTGTGTGTTCCTGCAGAACTGCCTGTTCTTCATCAGAAATGCTGCTGAAGCAGCTGGAGTGCTGTCATCAGGGCGTCCTGTGGGAAGGTGTCACGAAGCCAGTGTCAGCTCCCGAAGGAAGAAGAGGAGTTTGTAGCTGCAGAATGTGCTGGTTTGCTGTTCCTGGGGTGAGAGCCAGGCCTGTTTTGTTCCCAGACATGGGCTGCCTGAGGGACGTGGACACGGTCGCCATCAGCATGAAGTTCCCCAGCGGGGCCATTGTCACTCTGGATGTCAGCCAGCACTGCACCAGGAGCTGTGACCAGCGGCTGGAGGTGGGGTCCTGCTGCTCAGTCAAGTTTGTTTTGGCTCCACAGCCCAGCACAAGTTTTCCCCTCTGAGTGTGCCTGCAGCACATTTCCCAAAACCTCTCTATAACAGAATCATAGAATCACTGAGGTTGGGAAAGACCTCCAGGATCATCAAATCCAACCTGTGACCAATCCCCACCTTGTCACCCAGAGCAGAGCTCTGAGTGCCCCATCTATTTGTTGGGCTGTTGCCTCAGTGGCTCCTTGTCCTTATTCAATCTACAACCCATTTTCTCTTTTCTCACCCAAATTTTCCCTCTGTTCTGTGCATTCTGTGGTGTTATGAGCTGCATGAATCATACCAGAGCAGGATCTGGTGCCTGCTCTCCTGAGGCTGAAAGCAGATTTCCTTTGTCCTTTCCAGAGTGGTTTCAGGTGTGTAGCAAGAGTTCAGCATATTGAAGGGGAAGAAGAGTATAAATTCTTGCAGTCATGAATAATTACAGCTGTGGGGGCTGGTCTTGGGGAGGAATTTCTGTTAAACACTTAGAAAAGGGGCTTTGCTCAGGTGAGGTACCACACAAGTGGAAGCCACTGTGCTGCAGCATATCCATGGTGTTTCTGCTGTGTCTGAGCCAAACCATGTCTGGCTGGGGCAAGTGTGACTTCTCATTTCAGACCTTTTGTCTTGATTTTACAAACCAGGGCTTCTCTAACCTGGCCAGGCGTGCAAGATTGAAAATGTGATAACTTAGAAATGTTTGTTCTTCTCTGTTTTGCTCCTTCCCTCAGGTTCATGGGTCTCAAGGGACATTAAGGGTGGACAACCAGAACCCCCTGGGCATCACAGAGCATGGGACTTCTGTGTCCATCTGTCCCCAGACCCAAGCTGAGCGCTACAGAGATGCATGCAGGGAGCTCTTCTGGCACTTTCTGAGAAGCCTGAAAGGTGGGACAAGGCTTAAATTGATGGCTGGTGTTGCTTTGGATTGGCTTTGTTGGGGGATACACTGTGTCAGGTCATCGGGATGGGTGGGGGATGATCTGAAACACTGTGCTGGGAAGAAATGAGAGTTGGGAGGGGAAATTGCCTTGGACCTTACTCTCTTTTGTGATGAAAGCAGCTGTTTGTGACAGTCAGGAGACCCTTGTCTGGGGTTCTGGCTGCCCAAGAAGGGATAAAAATCGCAGAATCATGGAGTGGGTTGGGTAGGAAGAGGCTTTGAAGATCATCTAGTCCAAGTAATTTTGTTCAGCAGTATTTCAGTTGTTGTGGCTGCTTTGACAGGGCAGAAGAAGGGGCTGAAATGTTTTAAATCCTGCAGCTGCAGCACCAGGAGCTGCTGTGGTGGGATCTGTGTTCACAAGGGACCATGGGTTCCATGCAGGCCTTTGTTCCTGTCCCACAGGCCAGGAGCACCCCATGGTCACCAAGGAGCAGTTCCTTTGGACGATCCAGGTCACTGCAGCGGCTGAGCAGTCCTGGAGGAACAGATCTGCTGTGGATTTGCACAGCAGTGCCACAGATCTGGCTGGAGTCAAGGCTGAGCTCGTGTGACAGCCACTCAGCTGGATCACGGGGAGGATTTCTCACCCAGTGCCTCAACAGAAGCCTGGATGGCAGTTTTGATGTTCCCACTGGGAATGTCCAGCAGACAGAGGCACTTCTGAACCAGGAGCACTCAGTGCAGGGGCAGTGCAGGGTTCCTACCGCATCAGCCAGAGCCTGCAAGAAATTCTGTGTGGTTTCATCCAGGTGGATTTTCCTCCTAGAGAGTGCTGCTGGCCGTGGAACTCTGCTTTCCTGGGAGAAGAGTGATGTTCCTTGGGCTAGGCAAGGTGGTGTAGGATCACCAATAGGTGGGATGAGGGAGAAGTCTCCCTTTGGAGAGGGAACAGCCACTGCCTGCCTGGAGAAGTCACAAGCTGGGAAGGCAGCTGGGAAGGCAGGCGCCTTCCCAGCAGTGTCACAAGTGAGGTGATGTAATGCTCAAAAAACACAAGAGCATCTGGTCTGTGAATATGGATATATGGAAGAAATTCTTCCCTTTGAGGGTGGTGAGGGGCTGGAGTGGATTTCTCTGAGAAACTGTGGCTGCCCCATTCCTGGAAGTGTTCAAGGCCACTTTGGACAGGGCTTGGAGCAAGGTGGGATAGTGAAAGGTGTCCCTGCCCATGGCAGGGGGTGGGATGGGACGAGCTTTAAGGTTCCTTCCAAACAAACCAATCGGGATTCCACGATCCTGTTTAGGACACAGGCCCCAGCAGAAGGCAGAGCCACAGGCCAGTCAGTGTTTCTGCCAGGAGCTTTGGACCTTTGTCATGTGTGGAGCTCTCTGCAGGTGTGTGGCTCTGACTGTTCCTGTATGCCTGTCACATGCCAGTTTTCAAGATCTTTTGAAACCTTTTTTATTTTGTATTTTTACTGAATTACAACAACATTCTTGATGTCTTTCATTTCAAGGCATTATTTTATAAACTTCTTGCAAGGACTTCTTTAGTTCAATCAATTTCCAGTTCCTACCTATGGAATATATACTCCTAAAACTAGAAATAGTGGTGAATTTGTGTTCTCTTTGGGAAATTGTTTTTAACAGCGTAATTTTTCAAGCTCAGAAAAACTGTGTCTTAATGCATTCTCCATTTAATTCACTATTTTTTAGCCATTTATTGAAAAAAAAAAAAGTTTTACGTATCTGGAAGCTGCTTTTTGCCTCTCTGTACTCACTGTAGAAGTTTAGTACTCAATGGTGGGTTTCTTTTTCATTTCAGTAGCTTCAGGTCCTTTGAGGCCCTACAGGTGAAGGTTTACTCTGGGTTTCTGTCCAGTTTTAATTTCCAGATGCAGCAATTGCCACATGTGCTTTTATTGTGTTAAAAACAAACAAACAAACAAAAAAACAACCCCAAAACAAAACAGAAGAGAAACCACAGCTATAAAAATAACACAATTTCCAAAGATAACATTACAAAATATACAATTCCTACCACAGAGTGATCCATTAATACTGCTGGGAACAGCCTCAGGAACGCTGGAAATGTGAGTGGTTGTTGCAAAAGCTTTAAAGCATTAAAGTGCTTTACTGAGCCATTTCTTGGGGACACAGATCCACTGTCAGCCATGCCAGGGGAGATCCCAATCGCAGAGGTTCCCAATCCCTGTGGTGTGAGGTGTGGGATGGCCTCAGGGATTGTGACTGCACCTGCAGCTCACCAGCACCCGAGGAAGAGGAGGGACAGGAGGTCACCTCTGTGTGCTGAAGGCTCGGAGCTGCTGTGGGACACCCAGAGAGGGCCTTGGAGGAGAGTCCCGGGCCCAGGGCTGTGAGTGCAGCACGTCCAGCGGTCACACTTCTGTCACCCTTGGAGAGGGAACAGCCACTGCCTGCCTGGAGGAGAAGTCACATCTCAGGTGAGCCCTAGTGGGACTTGAGCTCTTCTGCTCTTGCTTCGAGGGTCCAGGGCTTTGGGAAGGGCACCCAGCCCCCTCCCCAGCCTGGGGGTGATGGGAAGCGGGTGCAGGGCTGTCTTTGGAGGCCTCCAGAGGGAGAGTGCAGCAGTGGGAATGTGCTGGGTGGCGTCATCTGTGCAGGTTTCCTCAGGTTGCCTAAAATCTCAAGTGATTCAGGGCTGAGGGGGGAGATGCAGCAGCTCCCTGCCCTCCCTCCCACAGCAACAGCTCCTGTGACTTCCAGTGCCTTTCCAAGACCTGGTGTGGGGCATTGCCTTCCCAAATGCGTAGGGAATAAACATTCAGGGAGGGAGCACATCTATTTGTGTCCTTGCTTTCTGTGAAGGCTTTTTTCCCTGTCTGAATCCACAGAGAAATTACAGCTGGGAGAAATGACCAGGAACAGAAGAGAATTGGGCAGCCAGTCCATGCTGTCCTCCTGAAAGATGGAATTTACACCATGGCATTCCAACTTGTCAGGTCTGACCTGTCAACAAAACTCCCCAAGGGAGCAAGGAGGGATTATTCAGACCTCTGACTTCTCAGAACAATCACTGGCTTTCCCCCTCCTCCACAACTGCATGCAAGAGATTCAGAGGAGGAAAAAAAAATGAGTTTTGAATAGATAAGACTGGAGACAGGCTTCTCTGCATGTTTACATGCTACAACATGAAATTAATTTAGTTGACACTGCAGTATCTCAGGAGTCAGTATCAATTTTTATAGCTTACATGAAAATAAATCTTTCTCCTTACAGCACAATGAGCTTACTGTATGTACATTCTGTTTATATACACCAACCTTTAAGTACAAGAACACATTGGTAATGGACAAACAGGGCCTTTCTGGCTCTACAGAGGGCTGAGGGAAGGGATGCGTTTGGCAGTCCATGGAAAAGCAGGATGTGGCTTCACACCAGTCCCTGGCAATGCCTGCACAGGTCAGGGCTGAGTCCGTGTTGCAGTGACAAAGCCCTCTCAGCTTGGGACACCACAGAGAACATGGACAATGAGCAGGGATGAGAAAAACATGCTGTCCTTACACAGCTGGATGCAGGGATGCTCCAGGAAAACACAAACCAGACAGTGCCTCCTGTGCCACGGGCAGGCAGAAATCCTGCTCCGGCTGCTGAGCAGGCTCAGCTGCCCTCCTCCTTTTCTTCGTCCTCCTCCTCACCTCCAGTTTCCTCCCCAGGGCAGGCACCTCCTGCCTGGCTCAGGGCCTGCAGTTCCCCTGGATAACAAAATTAAACTTCTCCAGGTGCCCAAGGCTGCAAATACATTTCAGGGGGGCGCGGTTTGTCACCCCAGCGGTGTCTCGCTGCCACCTCTGGAGCCCCTCAGTTGATCTCTCCCTCCGTGAACTCCTCCTTTATGGACTGTTTGCGGGATTTGCAGTCCGGGAGGTCGAAGCCGAAGTCGGCCCAGTCGTCGGCCGCGCCGCGGTTGGGGATGGTGATGGTGTGGCGCACGCGGAAATGCACGGCCTCCATCACCCGCTGCCGCTGCAGCTCTCCCGAGCTGCCGATGGAGATGGTGGAGGCATTGCTGCTGGAGCGGATCAGCTGCTGGGCCCCGTAGTCGTGGCTCTGCTTGAGCTCCTGCAGACCCCGCCAGATGATCATCCGGTACTGCTCCGGGATCTTCAGTGCTCCGAGATCCTGCAAGGACAACACGGCTGAGGCATAGCTGCCAGAGATGTGTCTGTACCAGCAGGAGAGAGCCCCGGACCCCCAGGTCATGCTTTTGGGGGGGACACATGGGCACGATGCCCAACGGAGCGGGGCTGGACCTCCTGCCGTGGCCATGGGTGCATCATCCCCTGCGTTATTCCTGTTTGTAACCCAGTCACTCAACCGCATCTCTGCAGGTTGGAGACTTTTCGTTATTGTTTTGGGAGGGGCTCACATCAAACTGATGTGGAAATGGAAGGGAAGGAAGGGATCATTCCCCTCGGACACAGGTTGTAGAGCAGCATGTGGAGCATCCTTGTGCCTGTGCACTTGGGATGGCCTCTGCTCTGGCCCTGGCCCAGGAGGCTGGAGCAGCACCAGCATCGAGCATTGAGGTGGGTGACACCAGGAGAGGTGGGTGACCTCAGACTGGGGACACACACCAGCACAGGGGGAGCTGCCAGGGATCCATGTTAATGCCAACACAGAGACTCACGGGAGTGTTAACTGGAGCAGACAGCGAGTATGCAATTAGTAGCTACAAATGCCGACTCAGACACACAGCTCTGCCCTGACACAAGTTTTGGCGATTCCTAAACGTTTCCTTGGACAGCTGACACACGGTCATGGAGTTAGTTCAGCAAATGGTGCAAAACCAGGCTCAGGTTACACAACTGGCCCCAGCCACCAGTGACAAATCATCATCTCTCCCGCGGGATGTTGTAGCTGGCAGGTAGAGACACTGCTACACTTGCCTGGGGCAAAATGGGGTCAAAACAGGGTTGGGCAGGAGTTCTGTCTCAGCCAAAACACAAACTCCAGGATTTACAGGGCTTGCTACAGCTCAAAGGGTTCAGGATTATTTTTTGTTTTCCCTTTTCTTGTTCCTCTGATGGGCTGTGGAAGCCCTGGCTCCAGTGCTGCCCCTGTTACCAGCACCACAGTGTGGCAGCCGCAGAGGCTGATGCTCTGGGCACACACAGCGGATTTCCAGCATCCCCTCCATGCTTTTTCTGACAGCTTTTGCCTGACCTCGGCTATTTTGTTCCAGACTTCCCTTAATAAAAATGCCCTGGGCTCAACTCCCTTGTTTCAGCCTTTTTCATCTTAAAGACTAGCCGGGGAAGAGGTGAGACCAGATTAAATCTCCCTGAAGCGCAGTGGGGTTCCCTGCCGGCTCCGTGGGAGTTGCAGTGTTCCACTGAGCACCTCAACAGTGTTCTCTGTGTTAGGTGGAAAATGTCCCTGAGCTCTGGCCTGGGAATCTTTGATCTCTCTTGTTTCTGAGAGTCTGGAGGAAGCAGCTGAGGCTGGCTGTGGTTTTTTGGGACTGGCTGTGATTTTTACCAAGGCCTGAGCTATAGCCTCCGAAGGACCATCAAGGGGATAGGAATGACAGGCATCAATTCTGGGAGCACATGTTCTGTGTGAGGGGTTGGGGCACAGGTTTCCCTTCCTCCAAAACAGTTTGGTTTTGCTTTTCAGACCAACAGCTGCTGGAAACAAGTGGTAAGAACAGATCTCCCCAAAGCATTTACCTCTATGGATAGGTTCTGCAGGTGGTAAATATTCTGTAACCCTTGTGAGGTGAAATAGTCGATGCAGTTTGGACACCCCAATCCTGTTAAAAAACTGCAGAGAAAGTTTGGAAAATAAAGTGGCATTAAGTTCTCATGAACAACAGCTGTGTCCCATCTCTGTGGGACAGACCATGTCAGATGGGGGATGTAGACAGCTCCACTGCCACTAAGGTCAAAGCAAAATGTGGGGTTATGTTCATTCCTAAAACTACAGATGTTTTTCTCCTGATTGTCTGAGATTTTGGCTCAGAACCCATATAATATGAGGGAGCTCAATCTTCTGGGGAGGGGGATCAGGGCATGCTCTGGGCTCTGCCCTGTGTGGATGCTGGCCCAAGGTCTGTCAAAGCATCCATGGTCAAAGGCCAAAACATTAAAAACCTGCAGAGCTGTCAATGCATTTCTGATTGAAATAATCCACATGGACCCATTTCCAGTTGTTGCTGGAAGGGGAAGGGGAAGCTCATAAAGCCACATGCCATTGGACATGTAGGACAAGACCCTCTTTTGGATGTAATTAAATTTCTAATTGATCAGGGACAGATTCCAGAGAGGTTTATGAGGGCAGTGAGGATTTCTGACTGATTGGTAGCTGGGCTTTGGTTGCTGAGGTGAGAGGAACAGCAGTGATTTCTCAGTTGGGGCCAGTGGCCAGTTGACCAGTTGCCAGACAGATGGGAAGGTTAGAGCAGGGGACACAGCAAGGAACAGAGGACAAGACAGCCAGGACAGCGGGTGCCTGCCCTACCTGACAAGGCTGGGGTCGGGGTTGTAGGGTGGTGGGGGGGTGCAGTGTGAGCCGGACACCATGGACTGGGATGAGTGGCCCCCGTTCATTTCTCCATTGGTCTGCATGGGGTGGCTGTTCAGCATTCCAGGTCCTGGGCAGAGGCAACAAACACACCCGTCAGACACCACCCAGACCCGATAACCCCCACTCCTGGGCAGGGAGAGCCCTGTGCTCAGCCTGGTGACGCAGGACATACCCATGGGGCCCAGGCTGGGTGCAGAACTGGAGCTGTGCTGGGCAGGCTGCCCCACCAGTTGGTTCACAGAGGGCAGCTTGTTGATTCCTCCACCGTGGACTTTATTCATGGGGGAAAGGACGGGGCCGTAGGAGGATGGTGTCTGCAGCTGGCTCCTGTTTGGGAGGGGAACACACTGGTCAGACTGGAGTGAGTGGGATGGAGCTGCCCTGTTCTGGCCTGGAGGGAGCTCCAGTCCATCAGGCCTCCCTACCAAGGGTGCTCAGGGGCTGTGGGGCTCTCAAGGGGCTGCAGAGGTCTGGGGGACCGGGGGGATCTTAGGGACCATGGGGGTCTTGGTGATGGCAGAGGTCTTAGAACTGCGGGGGTTTCAGGAGGCTGCAGGGGCCTGGAGGATTGGGGGGTTCTTGGGGACTGTGGGGGTCTCAGGGGTTGTGGGGGGTTCTCTGGGACTGTTAGGGTCTCTGGGACTTTGGGGGTCACATGTGCTCTGATGGTCTCAGGGGCTGTGAGGATCTCGGGGGCTGTGGCAGGACTCACTGCCTCTGCAGGAGCTGCTGCTGCTGCTGCCGGTAGGAATCCACCAGCTGCTGTGGGACCAGCTCCACCAGCTCCAGGCTCTCCTTTATCTTCATCAGGATCTCAAAGTTCTCCCGGCCTCGAACCTGGAGGAGAGAACAAGACCAGGACTTTGCTTTATTCCCGTCCCACCTGGCCAATTCCCCATGCTCCCTTTTTCCCACCCAGACTGTCACTGTGGCCAGGGACTGTTTGGGATGCCGGAATCCCTTGGACATGTGTCCATGGATGCTTTTGCTCCTATTGCCAAGGCCCCTGCTGTCCTACAAGAGCCTTTGCAGCCCCAACCTGCCCAACATCCCCTCCCCAAGCTGCTTCTGGCAGAGGGGATGGTGCCACTGCTGTCCCAAGCCGATTTCTGACCCAGTTGCAGCACACCCACACTTACAGGCACGTAGTACATCTCCTCCTCCCCGTGCCTCCGTTTCTTAATGCCAGTGCCCAGCGCTGGGATGCCCTGGGGGCTCTGCTTGAAGGCTGGAAAGGAGAGGGGAAGAGAGTTGGTGGAGTCGTGGGAGATAGGACATGGCAGGGAGCACTTCAAGCTGTGCAGGACGCTAAAACCATTCTCTTGGGGCCTGGCATGGGAGTGTCCCTTTGCTATTGTCAATAATGAACAAACGTATCTGGCCACGAGAGCCATGCACAGGTATCTTCGGGCTCTGTGGAGAGAGGGGCGGGGTCCGACTTATGAGGTTTAGTGGAGAAAGGTGGAAACATCATCCCTGAGTGTGGATTTGAGCCCCAAGGTCAGGAGTGCAGGGATTTCGGGTGCCCTGAGCCCCCCAGCCGCTGACAGGGGACTCACTGCGCTTGTTGGCATTGCCGTTCTTGGCCGCGCTCTCGTTCAGGGCTTGCTGCTCTCGGAAATGATCCTCGTCAGCTTTCCTGTCCCTGCCGGGACAGGCACAGATCCGCCCCTCGAAGGATCTCCTCCCCAGGACCTGGCCACTGGGAGAACAGAGCAATCAGTGACCCTGCTTCCCCTTGGGAAGGGCACTGGGACTCAATCCAGGCAGAAACCAGATGGCGACCCTCAGGGAGCAACGGAGCCCCTCAGCAGCTGGCTCCTGGGGAAGAGGCGCTCCTGGGGCAGAGGAAGGCTCCAGCTGCTGGGCCGGGTCCCTGGTCCCTCCGTGCCAGCCCTTTTCCAAGCTGGCAGAGGGGAGCATTCCTGTGCCATGAGCTGGGGCTGCCCCGTTCCCTTCCCTGGGGGTGCTCCCTGCAGGGGAAGGTTCCTTCCCCAGCCCTCCCGCAGTGGGATGCCCATCCCTGCTCCCGCAGCCACTCACTCTCTCGTCTCCAGGGTGATGATGATGAGGATGGGCCTCCTGTTCATCCCTCCCACGCAGCTGCTGTTGCACATGAAGTTGTACAGGATGGTGGTGAACTCGGTCCCCACCTGCCCGGGAGGGGAGAGCAGGTGCTGAGCGGGGAGTGTGAGGAGAGACAGGCTGGGATCCCCGGGGAGTGGAGAAGAGGAGGGGAGGCAGGCTGGGATCCCCCAGGAGTGAAGAATCAGGGCTGGACCCTGTGCACAGGGCTGGTGCTTCGGCGGGATGAGCAGGGGAACACTGGGGATGGTGTGGGGATGGTCCCAGCTGGAAAGAGGGGACTGTACAAGGACTGTGGGGGCACCCGGGGCAGGACTGCAGGGAATATCCCATTTCACCCCACTTCCCAAGATCAGGCTGCTCTGGGATGCTTCACAGGGCTGGGAGCTGCAGGTTCTGGAGTGTAGCTGCCACCACTTGGGGGCGAGCACAGAGATGTGCCAGGGCGAGGGGGACATTGGGCCAAGCAGCCCAAACCAGGGAGGCAGGGGCTGGTCCTTCCCCCTGCCTCGAGCAGCCGGGTACCTGTGGTGGCTCATAGGGCACCATCACGCTCTGCCGCCCCGTCACCGGGTCATCCACGTACTGGGACAGGTTGTTGCCTTCCACCCGGATGAGGTGGCTGGCAGGGGCTGACTGGCCTGCAGGGCAAACCTCCAGTTAGAGCCAGGGCTGCTGCCCAGGGCGCTCATCCCGTGTGCACGAGAGCTGTGACACAAGGGACGTGTGTCCGTGGGCACAGCTTAGAGCCCTCACCGTCATTGAAGTCGCGGCCGAGCTCATGGTTGGGGCAGCGCTTCACCACCTCGGTGACGTGTTCTGCCTTCTTGTAGACAGGCATGGCCCGGATGATGGTGCCTGGGGGCGGCGAGGTGGACACCTTGATCTGGATGGGGCATGTCTTGGCAATCTGACAGTAGAGCTTCTTCAGCAGCGGGGAGTACTGGAAAAGAGGAGACATCCCTCAGGTGAGCATCACTGGTGTTGTGGTGTTGGGGTGGAGGGTGTTCCCCTGGCCAGCCTCAGCTTCCTGTGCTGCTCTGGTGTAAAGGTGTTCCCTTTCCCCTGGAAATGTTGAAATTTGATTATTTCACCCACATTATGTGGTTTCTTCTTCCCACATAAACCAGACACAGCCACCTCCTGGGGCAGGGAAGGGTTCCCCAGATGGGCAAAGGCTCTGGCAGAGCAGGGCACAACTGCACTGAGACAGAGGGAATCTCACTGAAAATCAACAAAACCATCATCATTCATGCATCATTCAGCCTGTTTTGGAAATATTCCCAAGTCTGTCTCACACAGGGCTCCTGACCAAGGGTGACACACCACAGCCTGAGGAAATCGTGCTTGATGCCATTAGCAGTGTCACAGCCGATTAGGCAGGACCTGGGAAACAAACCCACAGACGGGTTTGTCCTGATCCTGACTCAATCCTTTGCAGCAGCAGTGGTTCAGGGAGAGGACGGGGCAGGGACATGATGGGGACCACTGCCTGAGCTGGCTGTGGGAGGAGGATGCTCTGTGGCAGCTAGAGGCAGTACCAACCATAACTTCTGAGTAGAAAATTGTTTGTGGCCACCAAATTCCTCCCTGTGAGGGCACAGTGGGGTTTTCTCAGTGGCAAACTCCTCTCACAAGGCCCTTGGATGGGGGAAGCTCTGGGGTCTGCAGTGTGTGTCCCTCCAGAGCAGGGCTGGGGAAGGAGAGCCTGTCCTTCACCTTCCAGGAACTGCCCAGGTGTGGGGATGTGCAATTCCCTTCCACCTCAGCCATGCCATGCTGTTTTCCATCTCGCAAGGAATGTGTTTGCTATACACCAGCCCACCCCTGTGCTCGGAGCAGCCCGTCCCTGCATGGCAGGGCATGTTCCTGCTCCAGGTATTTTATCTCATCCCCACAACACAGCGCCTGCTGCCAAAAAAATACCACCGTGCAGAGCATTTGTAGGGATGTTAAAGCTTGTCCTGAGCCATCCAAATACAGGTGTGCCGAGGGGAGGCTCTGCTCTCCCCGTGCTGGGCGGCTCCTGAGTGGGGGCTGCCCAGAATGGGGGCTCAGCACAGGGCTGGAAGCTGTTCAGGGGCTGACAGTGGTGGCTCAGTCCCGACTTTTCCTGGCCACGAGCGTGTCCCAGTCCAGCTGTGGATCAGGCAGGAAGGATTTGTGTCTCCCAGTCCTGCTGCCCTGGCTGCAGGAGATCTGCCTGTGGCTGAGCAAGGTGCTCCCAACACCAGGACTCAGACATGGCAAACAAGAGAAATATTTCCAGGTTTGTCTCATTTAGGTGGTCTCTGGGGAAGTTCTGGGGAGACATAAAGGGCAGAGGCTCTGCCAAGGCAAACAGCAGCAGCTCCTGCAGCTTCTGCATCACTGGACTGGATGTAGCCAGCAGCAGGTACCTGGAGGTTCAGTGGGGTATCCTCAGTGTCCCAAGTTCAGAACCTGCTCAGCGCTGGGGAGAGCAGGAAGATGCTGTGGTTACTGGAGGATGGTGACTGAGAGGTGTAACACGTACTTGAACCTGACAACAAGAATTAATCCTTATTTTTGTAGGCACTTTGACTCGCCCAACAAATGAGGATACTTGGAAACATCCACTAAAATCCCCAAATTTGCACTCACACCGGATGATGCTGACTACACCTTGACTCCATGGCCAGGTTAGCTTCCTGGGCGTGATCCTGCATCCCCAGCAGGGATTCTCAGGGATCAGGCCTGAGCTGGAAGCGTGGGCTGCACTCACAGTGTGGTGACCCTGCTCTGCCTGGCCAAAACTCCCATGTGGCTACAGACCACGGGACTCACTCACCCAGCACGATGGGGTTTAACCCTCGTTTAGAGGAGCCACCATGGCAAAACAAGGGTTATTTGGAGGGGGCTCTTCTTTGCCAGGTGTTAAAATACTGACAACTCCTGTCAAAGGATCTTTTCATGTAGACATTCCCGGGCAGCCCTCAACATGCCTGGGAACTATAACTGCTCTGGAGGAGCAGAGGTGCATTATGGCAAGTTCTTTGGTAACAAATTCTCTCATTATACCATGTTATGACATGGATAAATCTCTGTTAAATAGCAGAGTGATGCCCTGCAGGGGGAAGGCGGCCGCTCCGTGCAGACTTGCCTCCGCTGATAACCTTATCGTGTCCCAACAGCTCCGGGATCGCCTTCAAAGATCCCTCCACAATAACAAACTATTCTTTTAAGGAACTCCCTGCTGATAATTCTGGGCAAGAAAAGTCCAGGCTGTGTCCTGGGCAGCTGCACTCCTGATTCCTCTCTGTGTAGAGCCATCCCGTGCTGTGTCTCCAGCCGCAGCCAGGGCTGAGCGCTCCCAGCCCTGCAGACCCACACTGCTCAGGGCCACCAGGACAGCCAGCATCGTCTTTTTGGGATCCCAGGAGGTTCTGCATCCCCAGCTGTACTGCATCCCCAGCTTGGCAATATACTCTCTGTACGAGATAGCAAAACCTCTGCTGAGCAGAATGTCCCTGGGCAGACACCTCTCTCCTCTATTATCTGTATTTGATAATTATCTGCCCCATGCACATCTCTGCCAGCCTGTGCTGCATCACCTGAGGCCCTGGTACCTCCCAGAACAGCCATACCCTTCACAGCACCCTGCAGGGACCACAGGCACCATGGGTTCCTCAAGTGTGACATGAGGCAGTGGCAGAGCAGAACTCAGAGATCAAAACGCTGGGATTTAATCGCAGACCAGCGCCGCCGCATTGCTGCTTCGGCTCCCTGTGTGTCATGGCTGTGTTCCTGCCACCTGCGCTGGGGGAACCTCAGTCTGTACACCCACATCCTTCCCATTCTGCAGTGTTTGGACAAACTGACCTCTCAGGACATGTGGCACCTGGGTCACAGCCAAAGCTCAGGTCACTTGAGCTGTGGCCAGCTTGCTGCCGGCACAGGAACAACATCTTGGGGCACCTGAACCCCTTCCTGGCACGTCCAGACCTCAGCTCCAGGATTTCTTTCCCATGTACAAAGAAGCCAGACTCCTGCCTGTGTCTCCACACCCTGCTCTGTCCTGGGGACCACAGGTGTCTATCTCCATGCTTACATTAGGACTCAGGTCATCTCTGTTCCTGTAGGACATCGGAGAGTGTCTGTTATTGTGTGTTACCATGTGTGTGAGGAACACAATGGTTTCTGTGGCTTGTGGGTTGCTTGAGGCAGCACAGAGCAGCAGCAGCACTGACAGTCTCCCCTGGAGCCTATGGGAACACAGAAGCTCTATTTCTCTGGGATTTCCTGCAGCTGCCAGTGTCACACTCAGCTTCTGAGCTGACAGTGCGATGCCAGCTCTGTCTCTGTCCCTTCCCTGCTACTGCTGTCTGTCCAGAGCACTAGGAATAAGCCAAAAAACGGAGAAGCCAAATTATTTAACTCCTAGCAGCCTATCAGCTCTAAGCTCTGTTTCCCCAAGAGCTTGGTGCCACAAAGAGTCCTTGGATGTCTTTGAAGTGCAGCTGCTTTTCAGTGAGATGAGATCGCTGTGGGGCTTCACCATGGTTATCCTGGTGCTGCTGCCCCAAGGAAGTGTTCTGGACACCAAGATTCCACTGAGTGAATGTCCCACAATGGCTCGTGGATGCAGCAGTGATGTGGAGTCTCAGCATCCATCACTGCCCACCCCGAGAGAGGACCAGGAGATGGCTCCAGAGGCCATCACTGCTCCAGGGCTGCCTCCCCACGCAGGAAATGAGCAGGGAGAGGTGGTTTTCCCTCGCACAAAAAATAACCTGAATCCTCTGCCTGGAAAGACCTCCTGGGGAAGTCCATCTTGCCCGGCTGTCCCTGGGCAGCAGAACCGCTAGGAGGATGTGTCCCAACAGATTTGGAGCTGATAAAATCTTATTTATCTTCAACTGTTGACACCGAAGCGTCTAGACTTGCCTGTTGGGGAAGGCGCAGCCAAGGCCTCCTTTCCCTCTAGAAGGAAATGATTTGCTCAACAATTGCTTTTTCCACAAATCCTCCCCCCATCCCTACCAGCCACCACCTCCTCTTCTCCTACATTCCAGGCTTCTCATTAGCTTTACTCAAGACGTGTCCAGGACTGCAGTCAATGGATCCCCAATAAAGCCACTGGCCTGGCAAGGCAGAGAGAAGAAAAGTGCTGCCTCCGGCTGCTAATTTCCTTGCACTCCCCGGCAAGCAGCTGCGGAGCTGCATCCTGGGACAGGTTGGGGCAGATCGCAGCCGAGAGGTGATAATAACGTGTCTGTCATCTTCCCCAGACATGTAGCATCTTGCAAACCGCAAATACCGTTAACCGGCTCGGACGAATCTGTTACGACAGATCCTGGAAGACGTGCCGGCGGCACAGCTAATTTTTTTTTCTCCGTCTAATTTTTTTTTAATAACCATTTTTTAATCACCGGCCTGTAAACTCCTCACTGAGCTGGAAATTCCTCCCCAAGCTACTTTGTTGCTCATTTACTACGAGCCAGGTTTGAGTATGACTGGTGCCTGAGAGGGGAGTGTCCAGTGGGGCCTGAGGTACCTGCCCAGCACACAGGTGGGCTGGACAGTGGGGATATTGCCCTGGGGATGGCTGTAGGAGGTACCCTGGTACACTGTGCCTCCAGTCTCTGCATCACAGCAGTGATGGATCAGGGTCATAAGGGATGCCCCAAAACCCATCTCCCCATCTTCCCAGTCCCTGCACCACAATAATGATGGGTTGGGGTGATGGTCATAAGGGATGTCCCAACACTCACCTCCCGGTGCCTGTGGTTTCAGTAGCACGGCAGTGATGCCTTGGGGTGACTCCAGCTACCACCAGCTGTGCCCAGGACAGGGGGTCTCAACGCACTCAGCAGAGCCCCCTGATCACCCCAGCCATCATCAGCTGCAGGGGGTCTCTGTCCCCCACAGATCCCCCAGCCTTAGAGACCACTGAGGTCTCAGGGCCTCGCAGCAGAGCAGCAC